TAAATCCTTCTTGCAATACAGCGCCATGAAAATGGCCCACGCACCGCCGGGACACCACTCGGTGGTGGGAAGACCCTCGGCGGGTGGCCTGCATTTCGCCGAATACGTTGTCTATCGGGGCGAACAGGTGGGTCTTTGATAAAGCTATTATTATCAGCAATGTTTTTAATATACGTTACCTTGCAGTCTTATCCGGAGTACTTGATAACCTACCAAATCGTAAAGCCCGATGACAGCAGTAGCGGGACGGAGGATACGAGATGATGGATGCCCTCTGTCGGCTCCACGCCCACAACCACATCGCCAGCGCTGCAACAGCCGCAACCACAGTATCACCCACATCATCAGCCGCCGCGCAGCAGCAGCAGCCGCAACCACAACAACAGCAGAAGCCACCTTCACAACAGCAGACCTCAGCTCCAGTTGCCAAGAGGCGGCCCAAGCCGTCGCTGCAGTTGCAGTACCAGCACTATCAGCCCCAGCACCACTCGGTGGTTGCATCCGCAACGGCTGTGACCACCACCCAACCAGCGCCCGCCGGCGTCTTTGCGCACAGCAATAATAACAACAATACGAGCAGCGGAAATGTGAATAATAACAACAATGACATGTCCCCAGTGTCGAACAGCAATAGTTACTCCTCGGTGGACACAAACCAGACGCTGCTCAATTCGCTGGCCAACCAGCAGCGCAACCATCGACAGCAGCAGCATCAGCAACATCATCATCAACAGCAGCAGCAGCAGGCGAATCGCAGCCAAAAGTATAGTCAATTTATGATCATCACACCCGCCGTTTCCATCGATCGCGACTTTGAGTACGAATCGCATTTGGACTTTGAGGATTTCGCCAATGCGGCCCACAACAATGGCAATCTCTTTCGGCTGGGATTGCGGCGCAGCGACAGCAGCAGCGACGACAGTGGCCACAGCAGCGACAGCAGCAGTTTCCGCTCGAATTACAATCCGTACTTGCACCACAGTCGCCAGCATTTGCTGTCCAAGGGCGGAGGAAATGGTAGTGGCGGTCGTCACTTTTACGCCTTCACCTCGTCGTGGCGGTGGTGCAGTCTACTGTGCGCCGCCATGCGCTGCTTTGGTGCGGGTGGAGCCGGTGGGCACGGCAATGCGCCGTACAGCAGCTCCCTGCAACATCATCGCCTGAGACGCTGTTCGTCGTACAATGCGGAGAATGCCTACGAGCATTTTGCGGCCCCCTTCAAGGCGCGAAAGACGCGCGATCACATGAACAACATCACCTACGAGTTGTGACGGTGGTACGACGACATGCTGCTGGTTATTGATCTCTTTGTCTCCGTTGGCCTCCCGTCTATTTTATTACAATTACTAGCTATAGATGTCGTGTCCTGTGTGTCTCTCTCTCTCGTTGTTTATTATATTACTCTATAATATATCACGTAAGGGCGAGCTAGCGAGATTGCTTCGAATCGGATCGAATCGAATCGAATTGGATGGGATTGGGTTAATCAAAAGTGAAGCACAGTTTTTGAGTGATTTTAATTCGAATTACGGAAAAGGCGATTATACGAGGTTAAAAGTTCTTTGTCGATGAATGCATTACATTACATTACATTACGCTCGCGCGTTTATTTAAGTGTTTAAGCTTAGTTAATTTAAACAATAATTAAAACTCCAATTAAATTTAAATATACAAATACATATACATCAAACGGAAAATGAGTATTACTTCAATAAACTGTTTTTTATTAGCATGTGGTGGGGTGGGTAATTTTTGAAGAAATCATTTTGGAATTAATCACCTATAGTATGGGTTAATACAAATTTGTTTCCCTATAAATCTGAACAATATTATTTTTATTATATTGTTTATTAGTACTAATTCAAGACATAATGATAATGAATCTTCTAAAATGCACACATACATATGTACAAGGCTGTATAATTTCAAGAGGCAATCAGCGAAGATCAAGGGTCAAAAACTATGTGATTCTATTAATAGTCCATTCATATGGGGAAGTTCTCTGGTCGTGGGTTTCATGTGCACACATGTAAACAGATGTTTATTAATTTTTAAACTAACTGAGCTTGACATTGAATATTTAGCTCAACCATTTATGGAACTTCAAGCAATTAGTTTATTTTAAGCGCTCGTCATATAATTTGTTTTTATTTTCTTAGGCATCACATTCTAAACTTAATTGTATAATTTTTTAATTGTACATATTTTTTTCAGGGACCGAAAATAGGAGTTACTTTTTAAAAAGCCTTTTTAAATAAATATGCAGAAAAAATCATAATAATTTATTAAGAACCCATAAGTGTTTATTTTGATAAACTCTATTTATATATGTAATAAACCTTTATCGTGGGAACTTTCTATATCTCACAATCGAAAGTCATTTATAAAAGTTCTGACTGATAAATTCGAAATAATTTTAAAATATAAAACGTCAGCGACTTTTATTTTGTGGTTAGTAATTGTATTTTTTAGTTATTACCTTCACTAAACTAATAAATTCTAAATAATTCATAATTTATCAAACTTCAATTAAATTTCCCCTAAATACCGCTACTTCTTGACGCCTACCAAGTTGTTAAGTTGTAACCTAATAGCTAATAAGAAAAGCTCCTTCCTAACGATTATTGCGTGTTTTATTTAGCTTTTAGCCTGATGTGGTTGCAACCACAATTTGCAACTGTCAAGTCTTCCCGACACGTTAAGCTGCGCCTAAAAATTTAAAATGCAACCGCATTGGAAGAATAATGATGATGAATGCTAAAGTACGCAAATATCTCTCCTTTCCCCTGGCAGAAAATGCACGCAGGCACATTTCACTGTCAAAAATGCGGCTATAAACCATTTTGGAGCCGCCAGGAGCTGCTGTCGTTGGCATTTATTTTTATTTCTGTTGCCACTTATGTTGGCCCGCATTTGGCCATTTCTCAAGTCTTTCTTCCCGCTCGAGTGCGTCTTCTTTTTTTCGGGCCTTAGTTTTTTGGCGTTTCCTTTTTTTTGTTTTTTTGGCAACATATGCAAGTAATTTGATTAAATTATATAATTACAGGGCCTGGACAGACGAGATGGGAAGATGAGAAGACGGTGCTGACTTTGACGAACAGCAGCACGCAAAATGCCGCACCACATTATGGCCATGGTTATGGTTTCTGGTGGTGCGGTTAGAGTTAAGTTAACGTTAACGTTAATGTTAAGTTGTTGGAGAGCACAGACAAAAAAAAATCCCTAATTTGTATTTTCTTAATTCCACAAAAGGTTTAAAATATATTATTTAAGGATGAAAGAAGTATTTAACATCAATATTATAAAACAAATTTTAAACAAATAAAAATATTATGGCTTAGGGTCGTTTTCTCGCCCGTTTGTTAAATTTAAAATAGGGTTTAAACCTTGAAATCGTATGGGAAATTAGAGCATAAACTCCCTTTAAATTTAAGAGGAGGACGAGAAAACTGCCCATAAAATATCTGATTCTTAAAGTTAAGTTTATAAAAGTCAAAAGAACATCAATTCTCCTTGTCTTAATAAATAAAAACAAATTTAAAGTTAAAGTTAACTGATCTAAATCTTATATGAAAGCATTCTTTCAACATTAAACTGTAGCAAGTTGTTGAAAATACAGTTTTAAAACTAATAAAAATTAAAATATAATACAAATATTTTTCTTTAAATGCTTCAATCCAAATTTCAAATCATTCCCAGCCAGTAACACTATTTTCGTCGTGTAGATCGTTGACTGCGACACTCACTGCAGGCCGGGACTAGTGCAATTTGTATTTCCAAAAGCAACAAATAAGCACTGGGCACGGCCTACATCAGGTGACGTTTTAATGTACCACTGCACTCTCATCTCGGATGCACTTCACTCCTCGCTCCACTCACCTTTTGCGATCTTCTGTGGGCCGAGGTCTTGGCGATATCAATAAGCCAAGTCAGCCAGCCAGCCAGCTGGGAAAAGGAGCCAGGAATGTCCGAGAGCCACATAAACACTGTAATTACACGCACACACTCACTACCAAATGCGAGGAGCTGTAATTTAATTAAGAAATATAGACGCATTATTAAAAAAAAAAAAGGGGAAACGCACATAGAAATGGCCTGGAGGCCCCACCCAATTTGGTCAAATGGAGATGTGCCCACTCAGACTTCATTTGGCAATGCGACTGCAGTTTCCAGTTATCCCGGCACACATTTCTGGCATTATCCCGGGCATGTTAATGCGTTGGACGTCCCACGACATCAATCAGCATCCTACAGGGGAACACCTCCTCTGATTCTGGGTGGCGTAAAGTTGATCATTATGGTAGGAATTTTATTGGGATAATAAGCAATCCATTGCTTCATGGCCTCCAGCCGTCAAAACCAGTTTGAAAAAATTTCCCTAAAAGGAATTTTCTTCTTAGGTTGACAATATCTAAAGTTTAGCTTGAGAAAAAGGGCAAAGGATATTCATACCTAGCTGGGAGCTTTTAGAAGCTTTTGGGGTGGTTCTGGGCATACAGAAAGTAATAAAACTTAAGGACCTTTCTAATGTTTGCTTTTTCAGTCTGGGCAAGCAGAAAATTTAATGTATGATGATGAGCAGGTATTATGTTTAACCTCTCCAGTTTCCTTTTTACAATCCAAATGAGAGCAGCAAACATATTGTCCTTGTGCTGAAGGGGAGACCTCAATTTCAAATATATATGCATTCATGTTTTAAGGTCGTAGGGCATTAATACTTCATAAGGAATCCAAAGAACAATATTATCCGATTAACTATCCCATAATTTTTAGAGGTTCCAATTTCGAGACACACACTAATGAAACCATCAAATGTATTATTGTTTAAAATATGTATGGTCCTTTATATAGGATTTATAGGATTCTATACCATTACAGATGTGCATCTTACAGATAGAGTATAATGCTTTTGCCGAATCTGAATCTGAAAGTTGATCAATTTGGATTAGTCGACCCTTCCAACCCGGCCGTTCGTTCCCCTGCCTTTAAAACAAAGCAAATAAGTGTATTTTGTCCATTATGTTAATAAATGAAATGCTTGGATCTTCCACCCCCGTTACTGCGAGGCTAGAAGACTTAAAAGAGTATAATTAAAACATATATGGAGTAATCGAATTCTGTCATTAATGCGGCTATTATATGCTTATTATGCATAGACGTAGACACGCGTGCCAATATCCCTACCCGTAATTAAAAAGTGCAACTTAAAATCTACTCGTCCTCCTCCTGCGACTCGCTGCTCTGGTCGACCGGATCGACCTGATCGGGCTTCCGTTTGCTGCCGCTGCCCTCGCTGCGAATGGAGGTCTGGACCAGTTCGCGGGTGAACTTCTGCACCAGACGCAGGGCAGTGGGCGCCGGCATGTCGCACAGGGAGTGGCACATGAACTCGCCGAATCCCCGGAACTTGGCATACGCCGGCGGCAACGGAGCCTGGGGCTGTGCGGGATAGAAACCGGATATCGAGAGACCGTCGTCTGCCCGGCGCTTCGACGGATGATCGTCCGACGGCTGGGCTCCGCGCTTAATGCCTTTATTGGGATTGTTGATTATCGGACTACTGATGATGTACTCCGGCTGGTTTTGATGTCGTCGCTGATAGCTTTCCGCAAAGTGATTGTAGCCCTTGCCATTGGCCATTTCCCCGTTCATGGAGCGCTGGCTCTTGTTGGCTTCGTCCGAGGTGTTCAGGGGAATCCTAAAAGGAAATTACATCTAGTTATTAGGGAGCAGTTTTTTATTTAAAAAGGGGTTATGGGTTACTCACCCCAGCACTGTGGTCACGGGCAGTGCCTGCTCGCAATCGAAAATCTCGCAGTCGTCCTCCAGTTCGTCCTTGACGCTCGCCATATGCCCGTTGCTGTCGCTCTGGCAGTCGTCCACCTCGTAGGGCTCCTCGTCGTCCTCCTTCATGCTCATGTTCTTAAAGCTGCGCCTGGGGCGAATGTGATCCCCCAGAAACTGGAGGCTCTCGAAGAGGGGCCATTGCGAAGCCTGTGTTGAAAGGCCGTTTTCGACGCGTCGCTTCTCGATATTATAGCGATTCCTCAGCGTGGTCATACGCTCCCTCAAACTGGTGGCTAAAAATAAAGATGGTAATAAACCCTAGTATTAATACCTGCCAGTTAAGAGTGTACTTCACCCCTTCCTCACCATCATAGCCCAGCTTGTGGGCCATCTGATCCCATATTTGGGCCACATACAGCTTGTCCTTGAACCGCTTGTTAGTCCGATCGTAGAGCACTGGGTGCGATCGGTATTCCCGGATCAGACCCAGATCGAATTCGCCCGTTTGGGCGTAAGTGGCCCGAGGCCGGCCACGCCCCTTCGGCAGTTGCGGTGGATACAAGTGCGACAGGTGCTCCATTCCTCCTCCAGTTTCACCTTCAACCTTGATTTTTTTAGAGATTAAATTTTTTTTTGCCATTAATTTTTTTTTTTTTGATTTGTTAAACTATGGATTGTTAAGTTCCTTTTTTTTTAATGAACAAAAAATGCTTGATGCGATACTATCGACTAATGCCAGGCTTGCTGATTTTAAAAATGTAATTAAAAAATAATGTAGAAAAATTTACCTAATAAAATATTTTTTAGAATTTTATGTTTATAAGTATAGATAATTATTCTTCCGCATCTCAAATTTGCAACATTAATACGAGGGCGCTTAGAACTGATATGGACTACCAGTAGTGTTAAAAATTATTCTGATAGCAACCGTCCTTTAGAATATATTTCCCTTTGCCATTCTCTACACAAAACGAAAGATAATTGATGTCTTAAAAAAAGAAAAATAAAAGATCCAGCGAATGAAAAGAACACAAGAAAGAGGAATAATTTTGAGGATATACATACATAGTTACCGGTTTTTCAACTTAAGGGAGCATAAACAATTAAAAAACAAAGTTGGGTAGAGAAGTTATGAAAAGTATCTCGTAGGTTGAAAAGCCATGGTTATTGGATATTCGATACGGTTATGTGGATTTTATGCTTTCATATCACTTCGATAAATCGATGGTGTCTTGCTATCTCTCTCCCAGGATATACACACATAGTTACCGGTTTTCAACAAACAATTAAAAAACAAAGTAGAACGTGAAATAGTGTGACTGGACTTCGGCCGGGCATTTGCTAGCGTTAGTGCTCAGAATAATAAAAGTAATGCTAGATGATAATAGTTAAGTTTAACGATAACCGCCTCGATAAATCGATGCTGCCATCGCTAATCTGCATCCGCTTCCACGACATGTACATGTTTTTTACACAGTCGCAGCCGTTTACATGTATATATACGCGTGCGTAGGTGTGTATATAAAAACAAAACTGCATCTTCGGCGCGCTCTTTCGCTCCTGCTCTTTTCTGGTGCTAAGCGAACGACGCGCACTGTCGGCGTCGACGGCAGCAGCGCAATAAAAACAAAGCCAGGCGAATACCGTAAAAATATCAAACCTACCTAAAACACAAAAAAAAGTACAGAAACGCTCTCGCAACTGCTTGATATTAATTTTAAGCGACGCCAGCTGCGCTGCTCACACAGATAAACATAAAAAGTCGCTTTATAAACTTTAAATAAACAATTGCAGACTACTACTAATTTACGGTGTGAGCAAAAACTAAAAAAACAAAAAATAAAAAAGAAAGCAAGCAGTAATAGAGAAATATTTTTCTTGGCATCTCGCAGATAGCATGGCACTCGCAAATTATAAAAATTCTTAATTTATTTTTATAGATATTTACTCACCTCGAAATATTTAGATTCCCGTCAGGTTTGGTTTAGTGTGTATTTTTATATATTTTATACCTATTAAAACGCGCGCTCTTCGCTCCGCCCTGCGCCTGCCTTCGCTTTCTAGCTGGCTATTATGGCTAACTGTGGCTGTGGCTGTTACTTTAAAAAATCAATATAGACGTAAATAAATTAATTAAGATTGCCTGCGCAACACACGACGCTCAGTTTTTCAGTTCGAGTTCCGACTTTCCGACTTTCCGAGTCCGACGATGTTCGCTCTCTTTCGCTGCTCGCGATGCTCTGTCTTTCTGCACGCACAACTAGTCGCTGGGAGAATTTTTTTAACTCTGAAACTGAAAATATTTTTTATTTTTATATTTTACGAATTACGGACGAAGGCAAGCAAGCCGCAAGAGAGCGGCACTCAAACACACTCAGGCACAGACACAGAGACAGAAACAGACAACTCACACTCACACACGGGCACGGGCGCGCATCCACCCTCTCGCTTAAAAAGGCGCCGAACCCCATGTAGTAGAGATGCGAGCGTGAGCCGTTTTTTTTCCGCGCGTGATTGGCGGGTTTTGAAATTAAGGTAAATAAATACATTTCACTCGGGTTTCTGCTACATTTGGGTCCCTTTAATAGGCAACGGTTTCTTTCTTTTGATTTTCATTCATTATACATTTTATCACACAGTTACGACACTTTTTGTTCATAGCACACAATTATCACGTGCACATCTCTAGCAGACAGCGCCACCAGGTGGCAGTGCTGCCGATTCGAGTTGATGTGGCAACCTCGAGGCGGGAATTTTTATAACGGAAAAGGGATGAAAAGTACCCAAAAAGCGCGCGCGTTTGGGAAATTTTTAAAATAATATTTATGGAAAATGAAACATTAAGGGTAAGTTACCCTGGGTAACCATGAAGTGTGGAAAAATATGTGCACGGATGTGAGGTAAGTGTTTGAATACATAAAAACGGGTTTTAACATTATACATGAAAGAGATAAGAAGTAAACTCACCTGGTTATATATTGTTATATATTTAAAATAATATGTACAAGTCTTGGTATTGCAAAATTGAGATCTGAAATGAAGGAAAATAGTTTATAAGTTAAAATTCAAGGCATGGTTTTAATAATTTAAAATTTTTAAAAGTAATTTACGATGCTTATTACAAACCGCCCATAGGCCGGGACAAGTGCAATGTTTATTCAAAATGCAAAACGTTGACACCTTCCCGTCCTACGGGAAATTCATATTCATATTCGGTGCATTCTGGCCTCATCCTCCAGTGCAGATCAGAAATATAAAGTTTCAGCAAGTACAGTGAACATCTTGATAAAAATGTTAAAAATAATACCAACAACAGGTAGGCAGGTAGACAAACAATGGGAGCCAGTGATCAAAGCCTAAAAATCTCATATTTCAAGAACAGAGAACAAAAAATAAGCCAGCGCTTCATATTAAATTTCCGCCCCTACTTGAATGTCCTTTGTGTGCGGGTCTAAAATCGAGTCCAACAATAGTCCTGGAGGAGTGGGAGTTTCGGATCGAGAGCAGGTAAAATTAAACCCCGGGCAAAATCAAGCGTTAAATGCCTTTTACTTACGCCTCACATCATTTCGCAAGAGGAAGCTTGTATGTACCATACATACTCGTATATGGAAAAAGTATGCTGCGGGGTCCATTAACAGTTGGCTAACATCAACAAAATTTGAAATCCAAAGCGTGACAAATTCGTAGAAACCAGAACCACTCGAAGGCGTAGCAAAAAAAAGACCAAAGCTGATGAGCGGAAGAATTGCCAGGGCAGCAGAAAAGAATTACTAAAAACCCACCCGCGCTACCCCTTTTTCCGGAGTTTTCCAGAGATTCTTTACTCCCTCTAACTCGGAGTCTCAGCGTAATTCGCTTATCTGCCCCCCAAATGAAAGCCAGCAAATAATAATACTAATAATATCGTTTGGGGGAACGGAGAAGCGGAGCTTGCGCTCAATATTTGTTTATTTGATCGCTGCTGGGGGCTTTTTCGTGGCCCAAGACGGCATTAGGTTTTAATGTTGTTCCCTGCGACATAATAAAAAAAAACCGAATCCAGCAATGAACAAACGCTGCAATAAATTCATATTTATTTATTTTTGTTAGGCAAATACGCCCCCAACGGCACAAAGACTCTCTTCTTCTTCGGTCTTCGGGGCCTTCTCCTTCGTCGCCGAGCGAATGAAAGGAAGGCCCGGGCCCAGAAGAGACCCCAAGTCCGAGTCTTGGAGATCGGAAAGCGGAAACGCAAATAGACGCACGATAAAAAAAAAGAGAGCCAAGGCAGTAGAACGAGCAGAAAAGAAACAGCACGGCACATAAATTTGAAATAACTAATAATTCATTGAAAAAGCTGCGATGGCCGGGGAATCGGGGGCCAAACTGGAGTGGTTTGGCGGTGGGGATCGGAATGGAGTGGTGCGGTGGTTCCGCCGGTGGTGAACAATATCATGTAATAATATTTGCTCAAGCCAACAGCTGACAAGTCAGCAATAACACACTTTTCCCCGATATCGCGATCGAAAATCCCCACAGGAATTAAAGGCGTGCGAGTTCAGGAAAAGAGGTGGCTTTTGGTTTTGGGCTATGGAAAATATATTGGGGGGGTTGGACAGAATTTATAATAGCCAGTTTTCAATTCTACTCCACTCGATCATAGGAAAGATATGTTAATTGCTTTAATTGAAGAGAAAATGTAATAGATCCTATGATTTGTGAGTCTAGACATTAGAATAAAATATTTTATTTTTATTTCTAAGCCCCATCTATCTTCTTCAAGGTTTTCTCTTTGCTCATCAGCCTTAAAATATGTGCTCATTAAGGGCATTCACAGTTCGGCTTGTTGGCCTTTCTCCTCTGCACATTTATGATGGCTATTTCTCCTCCTCTGCGGAAGAATTGCCAGCTTTTTCGTTGCCCGTTGGTCTCTGTTCTAGTTTGAGTAGAATCATTTTTAATGACTCGAGAGGCAGCGAAGGCAGCAGGCAGGAGCTGCAGTGCCAAACCAAAACCAAAGAAAGCATCGAAGGCTTCGATGGCAGCCAGGGATAAGTGAACGGGAATGGTCATGGATGGCCATGACTTCCAGCCAAAAACCGTTTGCATTTCCCATTGTTGATGTACTTGTTGCTTCTCCGAGAGAAAGAGCTACAGTGGAGCGCCTTTTAATCGAACTATAAAATAATTTCCAACCGTTTTAATTATTATGATCTCTAAGCTAATTGATATATAAACTGCATAAAACTTAAATCTACTAACGGTTCACAGATTAACAGCAAATAAAGTTTAGTACAGGAAATGAAGAAACCAAATAATAGGTTACCAACTTATACAAGCTTGTAATCTTTAATTACACAAATATAATAATTAGTTGTGGAACATTTAGGATGGTATGGGAGCTTAGGAAAGTTAACTAGAATGGATACATTGTTGATGAAGATTAAGCAAAGAGAAGTTCCTACTACAGAATCTCCACTGTAGAACGAGCGAGGGCCGCGAATAAAAATAACTGTATTAAATGGGCCCAGGACCAGAGACGTCTAAGAAAAGGTCTGCCGCCTGAGAACCGAACTGAACCGAACCGAACCTCCGCTCTTGGCTGTTACAATTTCTAGGCTCTCGGGTCGCCAGACTTGGCCATCGTTTTGGCCATGGTCGAACCTGTTTTGGGCTCGGACCCGAGACCCAGCACATCGCATAAAAGGCGTTCCAGAGATGGGGACTGGGCCGTGCCTGGCTGTCTCATCTGTTGTCTATTTGGCAGGCTCAAGCTGCAACGCCAGCTTCTAAAAATTGCTGCGGGCCTGTTCGCAAGTGCAACACAAGTTGCCTTGGCAAACACTCGCAGATTTGATTTGCTCTTGCCTTGCTTCCATTTCTTCTAGGTTCTTTGTAAGGCTCGTTTCTTTTTTTCGGTCGGTTTGTTTTTGCAGCAGCGTAATCGAAATGCAATTAAGATGCGGCTACAGAGTGGCTGCAGAGTTTTGAGACTCGCACTCTTACCGAAAGGAGCGAGAACGTGGCTGCAATTTATATTCCCGGACAGATTTTTAGAAAGTAGCAGAGGAGTTATACACTCCAGAGTCCAGACCAAGCCAAGACCAACCCAGAGTGCCATTCGAAAGGCGTTGACGTCGACGAGAGGTGAGCCCATTCCCGATCCCGATCCCGATCCCGATCACAATCCCAATCCCAAAACCCGGCTTAGAACGATCTTTGTGGATTGTAGACTCTTATTCGTTCTCGTATGTGGCATAATTAAAGGGTTACGCCACGGCCACGCCAATCTCCATTCGATATGTGGCGATCTCTTCCCCGTTCCTGGCTTTCTTCTCTGCTGTTCTGCTCTTTTCTGTAGAATTGTGTGGCTGATATGCATAACGGTGGTTTAATATGAGTTGGCGCACAAAGAGCGACTGCACCACAAGTGGGCATGTTCTCCGGTGATCCGCCAACCCCTTTTCAAGGCGATATCTGCACTGCCAGAAAGTCTATTTTAAATTGGGAGTAATAACTCTTTGAACTAAGGAGCCAAAAGAACAAAATGTGTCTTCAAATTTATTTAAATACCAGAAAATATTTATCGTAATAATCAGATTTAAGAAAATATTTCTAAAAACCTGTTTTCAAAATACTTTTTCTAATTAAAATTTTCGTGTATTTTTCCCCCATGTAAGAGGCTTCTCTTGTAAGTCGAAGCACACTCATTTGGTTGATATCGTTATGGCATAATATGGGCCACTCTCCCTGGACGTGGTGCAGTCATCAGTCCAAATGGTCGGCCATCAGCGCATCGTTTATTGGGGTTCGCTCTGCGAGTTCTCCAATTGATTGCCCACATCTGTTCTGGCTCTCAGAGGTCCAAAGGAATCTTCCCCAGACGCACCGGGATGATCACAAATTATTGTTCATTTCGAAGCGGGTTTTGAGTATGTTCGGGAAAACTCGGTTTGGAGCAGAAGTCTTTGTTTAATGGCACAAACTTTTAAAGCAGGCTGTGTTCCAAGTCAAATAACCACTCTCAACTGGAAATTTTGAGCTGATTCCATTACGTTATATTGCAAAATAAAAATTATCTCACTTAATTTGGTACTTTCAACGGCAATTTATCTGTATATTTAAAATAATTAGTGCTATATACGGGTTTTTTATATAAAATTCGCAATCACAGAACTTTTCCTTTTTTCTGTTTTTTTCTAAGAATTATAAAGTAATCTTAAATCTTTATTTCCTTCATTCATATCACAATATTGAATTCTGTGAAAAAGAATTTCACTGGGGAATTGTCTTGGGGGAAATGGGAATATGTTATCAATATAATGGGGAATTTCTGTTAGAAGCTTTTTTTCTGGGTCTTCTTCTTCCACAACTAAGATTAATCAGATTTGGGAGAATTACCATTTTTAAATTCATAAGAGCTTCCAGAAGAATGTTAGAATCGAGTCATAAAATCGTAGATGATTTGCACGTCGTATAAGTGCATTATCCCACAAAGTTTCTCATTATTTCCCAAATGTGTAAGCAAATGTTATTATCCGCTAATTGCCAAATAGTTTGGCGTATCTCGTTAGCAATGGCAGGCAGATTGGAGATGGGAGACCAGAGACTTGAGACTGAAGACTGGGCCTGGAAGACTGGCTTCCAACAGCTCAATTACTCCGCGGCTTTAGTGGCTCACAATCTAAGCGCTGAAGAAATCGGGCTTGTTGCCAAGGAGTCGTCGGTCTAATAGCTAATGATCGGCGGTGAATATGCGCCATCTTAATCCCCCCGTCGTACCCTGCTCATCAGCATCTTAAAAGTGAACGAAATCCCGAAGACCAAAGTTCTCACACAAATTAAAATTGCTGTTCTCTTTTTTTTCGGGGAGTTTCTACGCAAATGTTTAGGGTATGGGTATGAAGTATGGGTAGGGGGATGCTCCAAATGGAATCTCTTTGAGAAGAATTTAAGCCTCGAATTTCGCAGAGGAGAAACCGAGCGCTAAGCAAATTTTAAGCTTGTGCCTCATAGTTTATATGGGGCATTGTCTATATATGCAAGCTGTTGGTTATGTGTGTATGGTAGTCCGTGTTAGGTATTCGATAGCGCCAATTTGATATGGCGGCCAGGAGCACAAATTAAGTTTCCCAGAAACGAAGAATACTACCTGAACTGAAGCTGAACTGAGCTGAGTAGAATCCCCATTCCATTCTTCTGGCATTTGGCAGAGTGCTATCTTCCTTGGCTGCGAGTTTTATGTCCGCTCAGATCGTAAAGCAGTTAGCGACGCTATAAGGAAGAGAATCTCTCAAAAAGAAAGTTGGCAACACAACGCAGCAACGCAAATAAACTATGTAAAACGGCTTCGGTGGAGAAAGAAGCCAAAACCGAATAAGATGTTGCGGCAGGAACTTAATTTTGCTCAGCGGTGTTTTTAATGCCCCCGAAGATAGTTAAAGGAAATTAATGAGTAGTAAAAGCGAAACGGACGAGGAGCGAAGTCGCGAAAGAGATCCGCTCAAAGACCACAAGACCGAAATCAATATCCAATCATTAATCGTTAACTAATTCCATGAATTCTGCCCCTGCCGAACATTGGGATCCCGGGTCCAGCTTTTTGGTCAGGTCCGTCTGTCTGTCGGTCTGTCTGTCTTTGGTCTGCCTCTGCCTTTGCCTTTGCCCCATTTACCAAGTTCCAAAAACGCAACCAGACATGCCACACTAAAGACATATATTTATGCCCCGAAAGCAACTTTTAGCGTATTTAGAACAGCAACAACAACAAACAGCGGCAAAAAAAACAGAAATATCAAGATAAAAATATTTTTCGGGCGGCCCTTTGTGGCTCTTTTGGCATGGGACAGTGGCTACACTGGAATAAAAAGGTTACTAATATTTTTGATCAGTTCTGATAACAATTTTGGATAATGAGAAAAGTTATTTCTATTTTCTATATTCATTGAAGGAAGAATTTTGGAGTACACCTCACTTTAAATCAAAATATGTGATGTTATTGTGTCAAATTCTACAATTCTAGACATTTCTTAAAAATAATAGTTTTTTTTTTCCCGGTGTATTATTGGTCAGCCTAAACCAAGTATTTACTGATTGCTGTTTTGTTGTTGTTATCGTCGTGGCGCGTCTCAAGTCTGGAGTCGTCTCTTTGGGCCCTCTTCAGGGATCTTCTACTGGGATCTGGGATTTCCTCCCTCCACACACACGCGTTTTGAATTCGATTTGCCGATTGCCGTTTGCTTCTTGGCGAGATTTCGATTTCGTCGGGCACATAACACAACAAAAGCAACAACAACAACCGTCGACCATGAAACAATTTTATATTTTTGTGCAGAAAAAACGAAGATCAATAAAATTTTACCGACAACTGTATTTCGTTCAGACAGCGGAGTAGAGGGCCCTAAAATTAGTGACCAAATTGTCAAGAGGGGGCAGCTTTCGGGGGTATCGGGTCACATTTTTGGTTACAGTAATCAGTCCAGAGTCCAAAAAAAAATTGGAAACAAAGCAGCTGGAAAAAATTTGAACTTCATTTTATGTGTGTGCTTCGGTTTCGTAGAATCCGAAAGTGCTACAAAAAAGATGTGTTTGATTTGAAGTGTGGGGAAAGGGGTCCCCGTTGCGTATTGAGGTTATGTCGACTCTATGGGAAGCTAATGCGGCCATAAATCAGATTGTGACAGTTTGATATGGGATACGATAAATGCTTACATGACTCAAAAAATAGTTTTAATTGAGAAAGGAACTTGGGAGGGAAATGTATGGAATTTGAGTTAACCAAATTTTAATTAAAAGCTTTCCATACAAGTAATCTAATCTGTGATAGTTGAAATGTTCTTTAATTAGGTAGCTAAAAATTGTTTTTCTTTTTGATCCTTCTTGTAAAAAATAATTTTCTTGCTTTTCTATTATCTGCATACAAGTTGAAAAGGTCTGGTTTTATCTATCAACTGTGAACCGAAAAACACACAAAAAGAAAGTTGCCCGAAGGCTTGGGGCATAATTCTGCAGAAAAGCGAAGAACAAGGAGGTTTTCGAAGAGAAGAGAGGGCACCGTGTGAGTTCCTGCAGAATCCCCAGCAAGAAAGGTGCTCCAACGACAACAACAAGAACGGCGATTCCCAGAAACGAGAGTGTGTGTGGGAGGAGAAGGCGGAGTAGGAGTAGGAGAATTCTTCCAAAGGAGCAAAATGTGCGGAGAACGGGGGCCGTCACTAATGAATTTGTATGCAGAGACCGCAATGATTTGGCACAAAAACAAAAGCAACAGTAACGGAAATGCAAAAAGAGCGAGGATTTATGAAAAAAAGAAAATAAAATAAAACCGCGGGTCCAACGAACAACAACATTATGCGAAATTAGTGCAGACAGCCGAAAAACGCACCTTTTATGTTTTGTAGCCTCTCCACATTTTACGATTGCCAGCTCTTGGTTCGTTTTGTGTGATTTTTGATTTATGCAAAAGCAATAAAAATTATTATAATGAAGGCGCTGACATGGCTGATGGCCAGGGCAAAAAGCATGCACTGAGAGAAAAGGGTTACACATATACAATATTAGTAAAATAATATTCATCGAAATGTACTAATTTTTGTATGCAAAAATGATCTTGAAATGGTTAAAGTGAACTTTTGGATAATTCTGTATGTAATTTTTTTTTACCAGATTTCTTTTTTCTGTGTAAGCGAAGAACAGAGCTGGCGACACGTGATGATGTTGGAGACATGGAAAGGAGGAGCAGGAGAAAAAGGAGGAGAACTGGGGGCGATGACGATGCTGATGTTCCTTGTCCGTTACTTTAACTTCACTCGCTCTTTCTCGGGGTCTTCAAAAAAAAAAAAAAAAGAGCGCGGCGGGGAGAATGAGTCAGAATGTTTGTTTGACTTCTGCACAAAGAATGGCTTCTTATTTCTTTGTGCTCTCGCCCCTCTGCGTCCCCCCAAAAGCAAAAGCACATGTAAATAAATCAAAAGGCGACAGGAAAATCGCCATTTTCCCCGCCTATATTCACAATCATTTGGCGCAAAAAGCCTTACTAAAAGAACGTTTTATTCTCAACTATTTTGATGGTCAACATAAATTCTGCACCTTTTTGCTGTAATTATCTCCGGGGAAAGAGTCACTCTGCATTGGCGCATTGGCTGCACCCAAAAACGGTTAGGCATAAAAAAACTAACGGCAGTTTTATAACGCTGGTCTTCGGGGGTCTGGAAGACTGGAAGACCGGGGGGAGATTACCTTTTGGGAGGCTGTGCGCCAAAAATGAGCGGAAAATGCCCGCGAAAAGAGTGGGCGCACAGAGATCCCCGAAGATGATACACAAGCAATCAAAAGAAATGCAACATCCTCTTCGGGCTCCTCATCCTTCTTCGCCCCTCCATCATCCAGCGTCTTCATCCATTTCTTCCTGCACTTGCCTTTCCGATGCACCGTTACGCGGAGTTGAGCCCGGGTTCAAGATCACCGCACCCAGCTAAATGTTTTTTTATTTAATTTTTTTTGCTGTTTTTTTGGGCGCATTCTCTGCCTTGTCTCTTTGCACTTGTACACAGATTCTTTTGGGGATTTCTCGTTTTTGATGTTTCTTTGCAGTTTTCGGAGGGCACTTGGGGACTAACGGTTCTGTTCTGTTCTGTTCTCCAGTTAACAAATAAAAATAGCGCGCGCACTCAACTCACCGACAGACAAACACGAGCACACAGAAATGTTTAACACACCATCGTCGTGAATAACTGGGGCCCAAGGCTCTGGCTTAAACTTCCTCGATCCGCAGTAACTTGGTCACTATTACTTATTTATTTTCCTGTTCAGGAGTTAGGAGGTTTTTGAGCACAACCGCCGCCGCCGATGGATTGCGCGCAATTGAATTTCCTCCACAGCGGCGACTCAGCTCGATGCCTCCACAATCCAACTTCAGAGTTCTGAGTCGGCTCTCTGCTCTCACTCCTGGACTTCGCTGCCAGCGCAGGCTGAAGCAGCGGCTGCAAAAAGGAACGGAACGCTCGAGAGTCTTGAGACAATAAGATACCCTGGATTATTTTGCAAGGGAATCTTTTATTATATTTCATTTTTGTAGTACGTTGTTTATTTGCAAAATTTAATCAAACTTTTTAAAATAAATATAAATATATAAATATAAATAAATAAAATATATAAATCTAAAATATTAGTATGTTTGGGTTAATTTCTTAAAATATTCATTACCTAGTTCGTATACCCAAACTATAATAGTTTTAAAAAGTTCGTCCATTTACCATATGACTTTCTGAAATACTCTCATCTTTATACATTTTAATGTAAAATAAGTAATGGATAACTCTTTATCGAAATTCCGTTAAAGCAATATACCTTGGGCTCGTATAAGAAAAGGGTAGCGCAAGGCGACAGCAGCTACATGGCGACAGCGACAAGCTACAAAGAGCAGCTCGATCTTTGTTCTCTCTCTGCGCCGAATGGCTTGATACTCTCACAGGACTGGACTTAAGGTTTCCCGAACAAGGGTTCTGGAATGTCGTAGAATAGGGGATGATATGTCATACAAAAGGAGCTGTCTAAATAATGTTGCCGATTTATTTCAAGGGATTTAAAAGGTCCCACTTCATTTATTTTAATTTTTGTTTTAATTATCGATGAAGTGCAAAATATTAAATCATTGTTTAGGATAATTTAAACTACTATGTTTAAGAAAAATTTTAACTTATGTGGCTATTCTCGAAAACTTTAATTATGAGTTCCTATCCTAAGAAGTTACCCTGAAGATCTTCCAAAGATAACTCAACTTTGAATTCCCCAAACTTAAGCTTTTGTATCCTTCCCAAATGAAAAAAAGGAATATTAACATAAAACATAATGCCCGAAAACGAAATGTTGCCCGGCAAGTGAGGCCTCTGCCAGCTAATGATCGCCCAGAGCAGGTTGGTAAAAGTTGCGAACCTTGGGGCCCGGGGACAACTACATTAGGGCGGCCCACATTCGGTGGCCAGTTGGTTTTAGTTTTGGTAGGAGAGCAGGTGCATCGGCGGCAAGCCCTCGATCGAGAGTCGCGAGGAAAGTTGCGGCGCGTGGCTAGAGATCGATGAAGAAACCAGAAGACCCGCGCTGCCCGCATATCGCAACAGGACAATCGCTGAGGCACGAGGCCTGTCCGGAGTCCGGACACATCTGGAATGGCATTGAGTCTCATAGTCACACCTTGAGCAGCGCTGATCGTTTGGCTATTGCCAGGTGTGATCTGGCTATTGTAACTACCTCGGAAGGACATAATTTATTGAGAATCAGTTAATAGTTTCGAGATTGTAAGATTTTATTAATCAAACCGATCAATCCTAGCGTTTACCGATTAAAATATATATCTTTAAGGGAAATGTTGTAGATATGCAAACATCGATTTTGATAGTTTATTCTGAATCCATTCTGAAAAAAATATGTATTTTAAGTAAGAATACTAATGGGATATTGAGATTTTAAATGGTCTAAGTCCTTAGTAATTTCTCAAGTTTTTAAATATTTTAAATATTATTTTAAATATTTTGTGATACTTTAATGAAGCTTTCCATTATTTATATAATAAATGCGGCTAATTTTTCAGCTTTTTGGCAGCACTACACAAGAGTGCGAGTCGCAATTTAGCATAAATGAAAACTGAACTGAGATCGCCGATGGCCAAGGCATCATTAAACACATTAACAGACAGCAGACGATGGCGATGGCAGGTGATGCCAAACAGAGACAGTTGGCAAACTGAATGACTGCATAACTGACGGACTGACTAACTGAAGGACTGACTGACTGAGTGGACTGAACGACTGAAAGACTGAACGATCCCAATGGCAACTGTACAAACAGGCTCGTGTTGTTGGGGACTTTTAATGGGCTTAACCCGTGCCTCGGGCTCTCTCCTCCGCCGTCTCCATCGCACTCCTTTGTTAATTACAAAGGATGCGCCACAGGACAACATCTGCCGAATGCCAATTGATTCCCCCAACCCCAAGCTTCTTAACCCTTGGTATAGGGTATTAGTCCGATTATACTCCATTATAAATTAATGGTTTTCCATTTAGAAATGCTTAGCAAAAGGTAAATAATTTTTGTAAAATATTTAAAAATACTTTTTTCAATTTGGTTTATTAGTTTCTTATCAATGATGAGATATCTTCTATTTGAAATATTTTACAAATATATTTATTAAAGTGATAAACTTATCATCAAACCAAAGTTTTTTTTAAAAGCACATCCCCAAATTCATGTGTTTGGTGGGTTAAGCTTGGGATATAATCGGCGCAGCTGTACCTTCGCTTCCAGATCCTTCTGATCCTTGCGGCTTACGCACTCCGCTGCTCCTTCTTCTTCTTCGTCTTGTACTCCTGCTCCTGTTTGCCTGTATTTCTAATTTCTATTGTCATGCTAGATGTATAGCTGCGAAGGCCAACTATCCAGCGGCGAAACTAGTTTACCACCATTTGCGTCTTTGAGAACCGGTAACGGTACAAAGGTGCTGCCCCCCAGCATTTCTCCCTTTTGCGAAGCGTTGGAAATTATGTTTTGATTTTCTGTTTTCCGTTTTGGCCAAGCAAGCACAAACCTCCTAACGAACCATACCAAATTGTCTAATCTCGCCGAGCGTCTTCACACCCATTTTGACGAGTGCCTGCCAAAGGGGAACATCGAATGGCGAATAGGGGATATATCTATGGCATTTTCCTATCCCTATACCCATTACATTATCGTTTACATGCCACACCACCCCGATTCGGTATGTTCATATGCCCCTTTCCCAGCGATCCCCTCTCTCCGGTTTGCCCTCTGGCCCATTAAATAACCGTCGAACAGCTTTAATAATTTGCTGTAATTTGTTTATGTTTTCTAAGCAATTTATTTTCCACACGCGGCTGCCGCAGTAGCGCACCCAAGGGGGAACAAGGGGTTAAGGTTAAGTATTGGATACACAAAAAACGATCGTTGCAACTTATCACTTAACATTTTTTGGATTGCCTGCTTTTTGTAACATACTTTCAACAACTCATAAAAATCCTATACATTTGAATAACAAATAGATTCATTGGTACTAATTGGTAGGTACTAATTTAGTAATTGGTAGTTTAACTAAGTACTCCATTTTATTAGTACCATTTAGTACCATAAAACAGAATTAGAATTTTATTAAAATAACTTCCTTTATAAACTCAACAAAAATTACGGAAACAGAAAAGAAGTCTTAAGTAATTTATTCCGAACAATAAACCATTTTATTGGTATATTGCCTTGACAATTAACTGCAACAAACCAGTTCATTTAACTAATATTTTATTTGTGAAATTTCCCCATTCCAACCAGTTAAATTCGTAATTCAAAGTGTCCCAGAACATGAACATAAATGTACGCCCTCTTGTACGTTTTTAATAAAGTTATAAATCTGAAATCAAAACATAAATGTGACATTGATCTACAACTGCCGAAAAGGGCTGTGAACCTTTTCTTGTTTCTCACCGAAATCGATGGAAAAAAAATATACGAACAGAAGGAGATTTTTCAATATATATTTTTTGGCAATCGTTTTCCTTTGGGTTTCGTCCAGGAAGGCAGATAAACTTTATGACCACAAAAGAGCATCTAAAATAAAGCAAAGCAAATAAAATCGGACAAGAACAGCATGTGAACGATTGCAAATTACAAGACCAAGCTTTCTGCTGGGAAGCGTCGTCTTCTGAAGACTGCAGACTGCAGATATGTACAGCCCAAGTATCTCGGGATCAGGACCATACCATTTCGCTGCTGCTGTTGTTGTCTTGGCCATGTTTTTCGGAAGGGCAGCTGCTTCTTTCGGCTCTGTCGTCATTACCAAAAGGAAGCTAAAGACAAACGGATATGCGCTGCACATCAAGCAACTGCTTTTTGCTGCCCTGTTTTCATTTTCCATTTTTTTTTTATTTTTTCGGTGGTTATTGCATTGCTGTTTGGGCTTTTTTGTTTCTTGGGCGAAAAATAAATTGTGCGACAGGTGCGACAACGACAGCAGTCGAAGGAGGAGATCGGGCCCAAAACAGAGAGATGCATTGTTTCAAGGGCCAGAAGAGAGTAGGATGCACTGCAAGAAGTTCTTTTAAGAAAGTAGGACAGAAGCTTTCAAAATTGCATATCTCTTGAAGTTTAGGTCCTATAAAAATGGGATCACCAAGGCTTAAAAAAAAATAATCCCTAAAACACTTGCCATATTTCAAATAAGAATCAAATATTTTATAACTTTAATATCTGTTTTTTTTTTTTTCCTTAAAAATTGAATATTGAATCCTTAAAAAAAATATATATATGTTCTATTATAGGTAGAATAAAATTACGAATGCATTTTGTTTTAGTTTCCTTTATTTTTCTTCAGTGCACCCAAACGATCTTAACCCCAGGAAGCTTTTTGTGTGGGAGCGAAGCTTTCGCATTGATTTCGGCCTTATGAGTCTGTTGTTTTTGGCGATTTTACAGCTGCAGCGTCGTCGATAATTGCCAAGCCGTCTTACAAGGACCGAAAAGATGCAGATCAAGACCCACGAAGCAGCAGCTGTTACTTCCGCTCGAATGGATTGGAAAGGAGAGCAGAGTCTGTAAGGGCTTCCACTTCAATTGTCCATCGGCGATCGGTGATCGGTGAACGGCGAGATCCTCGAGATCCTTGGCGCATTCATCGATCCTTTTTCTAACTCTAATCCGGCAGACGAGCCGCAGACAGGGAATTTGGAC